GTTTCAACATGTTGTGCTGTGGGTGGCCGAAAGGCGTGAATCCTAGATTGTAGAGTAAATGATAAATCTTGAATATTTGATAATCTTGTGTATTTGCTCGAATTGAATAGAAATGCATTGATAGGTTGATATGTGTGTAAACCATGTGTGGAATGGTGTACAATGTGAATGCATGATGGATATATGCTATGTATATGATAAATGCAATGAATATGTTTGTGAGCATAGTATGCATTTTTGTATCGATTGATCCCTCGGAGGATTTGCAGGACCTCGTATGATACGATGGTTATATTTGATTCCTTGGAGAATCGGTTGCATTGTGTGATTCCTCGGAGAATCGGTCATAACATGTAATCCCGTGGAGGATTGGTTAGAGTATTTGATTCCGTGGAGAATCTGCTGAGTACTTGATCCCGTGGAGGATCTGCTGAATATTCGATTCCGTGGAGAATCTGATGAATATTTGATTCCGTGGAGAATCTGCTGAGTACTTGATCCCGTGGAGGATCTGCTGAATACTCGATTCCTTAGGGAATTTGTTGAACGAGTCGGTACCGCATTTGCATCTGCATAGGGTCGTGTGTCGGTCTCTATGAGTTGCATGAGTCATCTGTGTATGATGCATTGGTTGTGTGAATATAACTGTATATGTTATATGTGATTGTTTGGAGGAAATATAGTGAATGTTCATGTGTATGTGTAGAGACATGATTATTTGTATATGCTTAATGTGGTGAGAACATAATTTGAGTATAACTTGTACCAATATGAGTATATGTATATATACAATTTTATGCATTAACTGTTATGATGTTGTTTCTCACCCTTCTGCTGTTTTCTAATGCTCTATGAGGCATTGCAGAGTAGGAAGCTGGAGGTTCTTTTTGTGAAGCGATGTCTTCACTCTTTTTGGTCAATGGCTCTGATATGTAACATCTGGGTAGTTAGGAAGTCTTTGACTCTTTTGGAGTTACATTTGTTTTGATTCTTTTGTGATACATATGTGTATGTATCTGTTGTGGATACGTTGTAAATCATGAATTAACTGATGGTTGCATATACTTTTATGCATGAGATCGATTCAATATTTGGATGTTTCCGCTTTATTCTAAATATTGAGATGTGGGTTACCCGTTGTTGCATATCTATTTTGAGCAGGTATCGTATGTGTGTAATTTCATGATAATGTGATGCGCCTCTTTCATACCATGTTTTAATCAAACTCTGATGAAATAAATTTTCTATGTGCCTAATTGATTTATCTAATTTATTTGGGGTATAGAGAGGGGGGTGTTACAGTCAGCATCACAATAGCCTACCATTTTGTACTCAGATGATTTTCTATAGAATATCTCAAGGTTAGAAGTACCTTTCAGATACTTAAAGATTCTCTTAATAGTTGTTAAGTGAGTTTCTCTAGGATCTGATTGGAAACGAGCACATAGGCACACTCTGAAGAGGTTGTCTGGTCTAGAAGCCGTCAGATAAAGGAGAGATCCAATCATACCTCTGAATAGCTTTTGTTCTACCTTACCACTTACCTATTCTTTCTCCAAAATACATGTAGGATGCATTGGAGTTTTTGTTGGCTTGCATTCTGACATGTTGAACTTCTTCAGAAGTTCTTTGGTATATTTGCTTTGATGAATATATGTTCCTTCAGTTCATTAATCAATTTGAATTCCCAGAAAGAACTTCAGTTCTCCCATTAAGCTCATTTCAAATTCATCCTGAATTAACTTAGAAAATTCCTTGCATAATGAAGTATTAGCATAACCAAATATAATATCATCAACGTAAATTTTCACAACTAGAATATCATTTTTATAGGTTTTGTAAAAGAGTGTTGTATCCACTTTTCCTCTGGTAAAGTTATTTTTCAAAATAAATTTACTTAGCCTTTCATACCAAACTTTGGGAGCTTGTTTCAGACCGTATAACAATTTCTTAAGTTTGAAAATGAAATCTAGGTTTTCAGAACATTCAAAACCAGAAGGTTGGTGCATATTCACTTCTAAAACCATATCCAAACCCCCTAACTCCAACACCAGAGCATCTACCCTCAACACAATAGGTCCCAGTTGGATGTTGACCCCTTTGGAAAATCCCTTAGATATCAATTTGTGACCGTCTCCCAATTTAATGTTCCTTACAAATCCTGGGGTAGTAGTAAGCCTTAAGCAATAGTGACTTAAGAGAAATGAAATTATGGCTTTCCCCACTGTTAATTAACACCAACACATTTACATTTTCGATTTTCCCTTCAATCTTCATAGTACGATGTTCTCCCATACTCCCCAGTACTTCCATGGATTGGAATTCTATTTCAATCTCCTCTTCGCTGTCAGAATGCACAATTTCTATCGTCATTATCTCTCCTTCATCATTCAGAGTCACTCCTTATCCAAAAATCAACACTCTCAGGGCTTATTTAGGACACTTATAGAGAGTAGGGTGATACTTTCCCATACATGTGAATCATAAACCTTTGGCTCTCCTCTATGCCATCTCATTGTTCTGGATGCTTCGAACTCCCTTCCAATTCTCCAACAATCTAGTATGAGTGTTGTTCTCTCTTTTTCTTCTCGTTGATGCTAACAACGCCGTTGAAATTGCGTTAGACTCATTAGAACTCGTTTTATGTGTGGGGTTAGATCAATCCAAGTTAGGTGAATGAATTGGATCTCTTGGGTTCAACCCGCTCCGACTTTTCTTAAACGACCCCGCCCAATAGTCTCGCCCCATACAATCCTACCCCATTTTTACTATCGATTATCTATCCATCTTCATCTTCTTCTTTCAATTCCTCTTCCACATCATTCGTGATTCACGTCAGTTGTATTCTATTTAGAAGATTAATAGTGTGAACCCTATTTCGTATCTGAGGTTTTAAACCACAGATATTGCTCCTCTAGAAGCCTACCCACTTATGAAGATAACAATTCAAATGCCTCCACAAACTCCTCTACGTTCCTTTTTTGCCTCAAACTTGATAATTCTTCAAATGGATTCTCTAATTTTCGTCCTTCGTAATGTGCAATCAACGCCTTATCAACTTCTCCCACAAAAAATCATCCTCCGTCTCAATCAAAAGGTTGAACCAGTGAATGGTTGAACCTTCCATGCTAAGTCGAGCTAACTTCACATGCATTGCATCCTTTGTGTTTTGCACATTAAAATAAATCTCAGCTCGTGTGATCCAAGCCACATGATCATCACCTTCAAAGAATCGCAACTTGACCTTCTTTCCTGAAACACGGATGATTCCCCAACAGAGTGCTCATTCACCTGAGTCATTCTCATCTGAGCAATTTGTTTGCTCAATTCACTCTGAACCAAACTCGGTTGTTGCATCTGTTTAGCTAACGATTGCAACTTATCTTTCACATCACCCATCTGAAATTCCAAAGCATCAATTCGGTCTCCCATTTGAGATTGTCGTCGCACCTCTTGTTGTTAGAGATCTGATTCGTATGGTACATGACCAAGCAAATGAATGACCAAAGGTGTCACATCAGACTTTTGACTATTGCAGGGAATAACGACTCGCTCTGGAATATTGAAATGTGAAACTATGATGTTCACACCATGATCTTCATTCTTATATCTGCAAACATGAATAAGATTCTTGTCCAACATCTCTTGTAAATCTCTTTTCATTATAGCACACCCTCGAGGACTTCTCGAACAGATACGAGAAATGGTATGATCATGTTCATAATACCTTAGCTCGCATAGAGTAACATGCATCTCGACTAGAGATTGTTTGATAAAGCGGACATCAAAGACACAATATGTGTAAGGACACTCATCCACCATATTAACAGTGGCGTTGACATGCTTTGGCAGCGAATTAGGTTGTACATTAGGACTAGTGTCTTCGAAGGTCAAAATACCACTCTTCACTAATCTTTGTACTTCTGATTTTAATAGAAAACAATCTTCAAGATCATGTCTAGGTGTACCCTGATGGAAAGCACAGTGAGCCTCTAGTTTGTACCAACATGAAATGTCCTTTGGAACAGCGGGCGGAGCCCTAGTTTGCACTGAATTCTTCTGGATAAGAGTTGGGTACAATTCTATGTAAGACATCATAATCGGGTCAAAGTATATCTTCTTTTGCACATGACTTTGTTGATTATTTTGTTGTGGAGCACATTGTTAGAAACGTGGTTGATAGTTGGAAGTTGACTGAGCAACTGGAGCATTGTTAACAACAGAAGTAACTTATGCTACTTGTTGATGACGTTGACTTGTTTTGTGGGATCTCATATGCCTCTCTTGCAAAATGGCATTGGCGTCATGCTCTTTCTTCTTCGACAAACTTCACATACTTCATGGTATTGCCTGATGAACCACTATCTTTTACCAACCGTCCCTCACAGACAACTTCTTCAATCCTCATTCCCATATTCACCATTTCGGTGAAATCAATAGGAGCACTAGCAATTATTCTCTCATAATAAAAAGGATCTAAAGTCTTCAGAAAAATTTTAGTCATCTCTTTCTCCTCTAACAAAGGCTAATCTAAGCAGCAATCTCGCGCCATCTCTCTGTGTACCCTTTGAAGGTATCTTTGTCTTTCTGAAACATTGCGCGGAATTAATCACGGTCCGGCGCCATGTTTACGTTATACTTGTATTGTTTCACAAAAGCCTCTCCCAAATCATTGTAGCTAATAGAAGCACTTGCCACTAAGTATAGAACTACTACATTGAGTTATTAATTTTCTCATGTTTCGGATTGTATTTAACACATTCTCATTAATAAACATAAGATTAATCAGAATATTAACACAATCTTTACTTCATTTTCATCTACTTACTACTACCTATTTATATACATTAAGTTAGCATTACAAAAGAAAAAGCATATCATTTGCATACATTATATTTCACAATTACTTCTAATAAACTTTATGATATCATTGTTACATGTACATAGACAGAGGTTCATTCACAATGTGGAAAATGTCATGACAACCAACCATGGATTAATCACTCCCAACCCATCAACATCTTCCAAACTCCCTCCTCAATCTTGTTCCTCGGAACAGACAATCCCTCCACTTCGTCGAGCAAGATTCTATAAACTTCCCACTCCCGGTCTCCGATCACGTGTCTCGCAATTTCAGCCTGTTGAAACAATTAATCAGAATATTGACATAATGTCTTCTGAAAAACTATATGTCTTTTATTGATTTTGATGGATGTTTATTAAAGAAATATATTGAGTAAGGGACTAAACAGTAGGAAATATGAAGCAGATTGGTAATTACCGAAAAGATGCATATTTCGAGCATTTTGAGAGCAAGAGTAATATCGTAAAAAACTAGAGGCCGTCCTTCGCCAGATAACTCAACAGGGTTTGCAACCAGAAGCTCGGTATCAGGGCCTCTGCTCACAACAGCTACTCTTAGTGGACGATATAGTTCCGTTCTAAGGCGCGACAGCAAAGAACTCTGCTTGTTAGGGTCAACTATCTTTTTTCCATCCGCTTGCATGATGAACAAGTCCATCTCACATTTTCGTCGAGGTTTTGTAATGAAACGCCCAAACGAAATCTGTTTAAGCGACAAATTGGATTGGCACATATTCAATTGATAACAGCATAAGATTAACATAAAAAAACATTTATTCATGATGATTTTAAATTCGCATACCTTAATGTTGTAGTCCTTGAGAGTTCTCATTATGTCGTAAAGAAGACCTTTGTGGTCTTGGCACGTAATTTGGACAAGGGAATGAGCTGGACTAAGGGTGTTGTCCACCGTGATAGAAGCATAATCTGATCGGAGAGTCCCACTTCGAACGGATTCAGGCAATTCCAAATTATAATCGTTTTCAGTGATGGCAGCTGGAAGGAATGAAGATGCCTGCGAACAAGCAGAAATTTCCGGGCCAACCAACTCAATGTCCATAGTAAGTACGGAATCCTCCAAAACACCTTTTATCTGTTCGATCGTATCATCCTTTCTCGTCTTTGTATGTAAAAGATCTCTGTTATTATAGATTCATCAAAGGCGCATTAAGTAACACTATACAGAAGTTTCGGTAGAACGAACTAGCATTATAGAGTAGCAAATGGAATATGTAAAAACCTGGTATCTATGATAAAAAACAGATCCAAGACTTTGCCATCAGGTGTAGTGGAAACCTTAACTTTGATAATAGAAAGCTCTAGCTCACAAAGAACTGCAGTAACATCTGCCATAGATATAAAAACATTCGGTTATTTGTTCTGTCTACCGATTCCACACAAAATCATTGTCGCAAAATAATAAATTGGAATGCATTCAAGTATATGACATCAACAAGAGCAAGATAAAACACACGCAGTGCTCGATTCTACTTTTGGTAGACTCAAATTTGATTCCACAAATGATTCCAATTTAAAGCACTTTTAACCTGAATCAATTTTACCGAATCAATTCATTCAGAATCAATTTATATAGATTCAGAAGCAACTACACACACAGGAAGACTAAGATTTCTCAGTACAGTTTCGAAAAATTACCGTGTAATAGTCCTTTCCGATCATGACAGCAGAATTTCAAAAGGAAAACATCAGGAGGCTTAGTTGGCTGCAAATCAGAACAATAATAAGAGATTCCAGAAGCTGAGGAACAAGAAGGACATGCTTCAACCATCCTCTTTTTCAACAAACTCCACCTTGTCTTCTGTCCAACCACCCAGAAAACTATGTAGCACCACTTTCCATCAGTTGACACGTCTGCATCACCGCACAGAAAACAAAAAACAAAAATTGTTATTCATTCTCAATCTCAAATTCAAGAAACTCATTTCAGTGTCAAACAAACACAGAAACCAAAGCAAACCCATCTCAGAAATTCAGTAAACTCACATACCCATCTCTCAAATTCAAACAAAAATGAAAAACTCAGGATAAAAATTGATTTTTAAAAGAATTCCCGTCTCAGAAACTATGAAAAAATTTGATTTTTAGTGTTGGAAAAGTTACCTCCTCTAACAATGTTTAGACCAAAGAAGAGTATGATACGACACAAGTCACAACCAAGACCGGTTTTGTCAGGGCAATTCACAGTAATCATAGTTGGGTCACCTTCTTTTTCCGGTGGCCTGATAATCACTACATCGTCGTATAGTATTCCCATAGTTTGTTGATTTGGTTTTGATTCAAGGCTAGTCAATGTTTGAGAAGGAACAGCTTTTTGCAGTTTGTGTTTTGTTACAACAGTGGCTTGTTCTTTAACTTTACAGATTGCTTGCTGTTGTTGAATCCGAGAGAGAGAGAGAGAGAGAGAGAGAGAGAGAGAGAGAGAGAGAGAGATGAGTAAGAAGTAAGTAGTGAAAGTGGTGGTGGGGGGTTGTTGTGGGTTGACTATGGTCTAATTTTATGGGCAGGTGTAAAGATTTAAGGTTGAAGGATAATGTTATTAGAGTGAATCATTTTAGTTTACACAAGTTGATTCTCTCTCCTAAAAATACAAGAGTCATGAGAGTTATTCTCTAAAAGAAAAGCATGTTTTGCTTCAAGCAATATAGTATTACAAAATGACCATAATATTCCCTATATTCTTAAATAAAAATATTCATTTGACAAAAGATATTAGTTTTATACATAAGTCCCTTTTTAAATTATAAAATATATTTTATTGTTTCTTTTCTAAATATATTTTTAATTAATAGTACTAAGTATTTTGGAGCATCGTTGTCAAACTCGCTCGCAAGTACAGGTTTACGAGTCTAGAAAACGAAAACACAAAAACGAGTAGAATCGAATATAAAATTATTTTTTATAGATTTAAGTAAATTCGCGCATACACGTATTGAATCGCGAGTCTATGGCGAATTTATGAGTCAATGTTTTTTATAAATTTTGTTTTGAAAAAAAAAAATTCCCATAACTTTTTATATAGGCTTAATTGCAACTATGGTCCCTCTATTTTGTATTTTTTTTGGATTTTAATTCCTCCATTTTAAAAACCACCATTTTGATCCCTTTTTTAAGTTTTGAGTTTGATTTTAGTCTCCTCTCCAATTTGACGTTATCCAAGATGACGTGGCAATGCCAAGTCATTTTGAAATTAATTTAAGACTTTAATTATTGATTAGGATAATTAATTTATTAATATTATTTTCATTAATAAATAAATAAATTATTAATTTTTTATTATTAATTAATCAAAATTTTATATGAAACATTTTGGGCCTAACCTTTTAGTTTCATGTCTTTGGTCCATTTTTTTAACACACAATTGATTTGTTGTGTTTGTGTAAGATATATAAACACTAACAATATTTGTAAAGAAAACAATGTGGGACTCACAATTAGAATTTTCTCCAAGTGATTTCTTACTCTACTGTGTAATGGTTCAATTACACACTTCCTGCTTCTTTTTTCCTCCAATAATATTGTACAGAATACATCGTCAAGAGTCCCACATTGTTTTCCATATATTCCTATTTGGTCACTAATATCTACATCACTAATGTCACGTCAGTACTTATTAGACAGCATAATAACCATCAAATGTTAAGCTATTTGGTCATCCTCATAAACAACAGTATCGCATCAATAAATCAGAACTCAGGTTACTAGTTCTATTGAAGTGAAGGAAAACATAATAAGAAGGAACAAGTGGCAACATTAATGGTATATTATCCATTGGAATTGACAATGTGAACTTGCTAGTCACCCAAGTCGATGGCATACCATTTCAAATGACTTCACCATGTAGGGCCAATTTTTTCTCTGAACTAGCTGCAGAACCAAAAGTTGTTGCGGACAAATAAGGTGCATAGTTTCGCATGTTGTGGTCAGTATTGATGATCAGATATTGCTGCAACTGACAACACTGTGCTACAATATTGCTGATGTTGTTGACAATTCCTGCACATTGTTGGAGCAGACAAAAAATCAAATATGATTATCATTTGACTACTGGATTTTAAGAAAACATGCTAGTGCAAAATCTCAGGCAAACTACATGATATGGATAACATTGACATATAAACTAATCTGGTTAGCAAGATATAAACTGGTGATAATTGTTGCCTATTCTAAATATATATTTATTCTAGAGCATTCCATTATTGTTCTAAGGTAGTCAGTTGTACATGTCAGTGAAATCTACTCTGTTAGACTTCATGGTTGCAACTAACATGTATCTAGAAACAAATTTGCAGCCTTCCTTATGTTCTAATGAAAAGGGCCTTCAAATAAAAAACTCTGTGCAGATATTTGGACAGTATCCCTTAAGATTCAAGGCCTATAAACATTATCATTAAGTGTTATGGTTCATTTTGTTAAAAGTTTATTTGCAAACAAATCATTAAACAACTATTTCCTGAACTACATGTATAGAAAATAATTGTCTTTTAGGCCACTGATCATGTGAAAATAACAACTGTGGTATTGTAGGTTGTAGCAACAACTTAGTTTCTGAAACAGGTCTAGGATTAAATATGTCATGAAGATCACTATGGTGCACAGAGTTACATCAATGTTGCTTACAAAAAAAAAGAGGAAGAAGTCAGATTTCAGATGAAAGTAGCTCAAATAAAAACCTGCAACTACGACTCATGAGTCATGAACAGAAAGTTGTAAAAATTAAAGAGCGGTTTTTCAAACAGCACCTTCACATAAAAGTTGGAAAAAGTGTTTCTGGCACAAAAGTCACCCGAGGTTGCTTAGTTTGAATGAATAGGAATAGCTTTAGAAATTGCAACAAATTGCAGCCTGTAAGAAAATCTGCTCCTTTTCAATTTTTATGAGCATGGATACTCTCTACTGCATCTAGTGCTCTGCGACAACGCAGTTTCCGCGAAATCAATATGACAGATAATTGTTGCGCAACATAGCTACTTCAACAATCATCTCCTTTTCTGAATCCTGTAATAAAACCAGGAAATGGGAATAAAGAAGCAGGAAGTGTGTTAAAAAAAAGAAGCAGGAAGTGTGTAATTGATTACACAGTTGAGCAAGAAATCAGTTAGAGAAAATTCTAATTGTGAGTCCCACATTGTTTTCATTACAAATGTCGTTAGTGTTTATATATCTTACACAAACACAACAAATCAATTGTGTGTTAAAAAAATGGACCAAAGACATGGGACTAAAAGGTTAGGCCCAAAGTGTTTCATATAAAATTTTGATTAATTAATTAAATATAAAAATTAATAATAAAAAATTAATAATTTATTTATTTATTAATGAAAATAATATTAATAAATTAATTATCCTAATCAATAATTAAAGTCTCAAATTAATTTTAAAATGACTTGGCATTGCCACGTCATCTTGGATAGCGCCACATCATTAAAAAAAAGTCTCAAATTGGAGAGGAGACTAAAATCAAACTCAAAACTTAAAAAACGGACCAAAATGGTGGTTTTTAAAATGGAGGGATCAAAACCCAAAAAAATGAAAAATAAGGGGACTATAGTTGCAATTAAGCCTTATTTTTTGTAGACTTGATTTTTATTTATTTAAGCTTAGAGCACAAAATTATTTATAGACTTGATATTTATTTGTTTAGAAATATTGAGTTGAATTATTATTTACTTTATAGGTTCATACAAAGAGAATGTTACATAAAAAAATGAATAGCTTAGTTTATGTCATATATAATTTGAAGTTAAAAAATAAAAAAGGAAAAGAAAAAGGCATTGTTTTTTTCATTTGAAGATATTCGTTCAGATGATGAATGGATAATTAAAGATCCAAAGAAAATGTGCAAACGAAAGTTAATTTTAAGCAAGATAATGTGATTGTTAACAATGTTGTGGAAGTAGATGTTGTTGTTATTAATGTTGTGCAAAGTGGTGGTGGTGGCAATGTTGAATTAGGTGGAATTAGAACTTCAAGAAATTCAACTTTGGTTAACGATGAAAAAGGTGTTTAATCTGGGACCGAGTTTGATGATGATAGTCAAAATACCATTGAAGATAATGATGATGATAATGGTGGTGATGATTTCACTGGAGTTTGGATGCTTGAAGCCATTAGAATATGTGTTTAATGATTTATTTTGCTTTATGTAGTAGTCTGTCAATAAAGAATTAGTACTTTAACTACATACTTTTATATTTTGTTTTTTTGTTTGTGCTTATCATAGTCGTTGGTTTCTATTCAACATTCTACCGTACTTCCTATCACGTTCATCGATACGATTTTTACTGTTGCTTGTATATAAACATGATCACGCTCCGTAAATAAGTACAATTCATTCAGTATTATAAATTATGCCTCTCTGACCTCACTGACTTGAGCGTTTGAGTACTAACTTTTCCAGCACACCCTATTTCTCCACCTATTAGAGGCTTTCACTATCATACCAGAGAGCTTATACATCGACTTTAATCAACACACCATCAATCTCTTATTCCACATCAAAATAGTGGTGTTATTGAGGCACCGACCTACATGCGCTTAATGACTTTGTATCACAGCCTTAGGGAACTATAGATTTAATGATCTCTTTAGGGAAACTGAAGAGATGTGAGGATGGTAAATGTGTAATTCTTGGTGGTCCCCTACGAAAGTGTTTACAATTGTATTTTGAGATGTCTCTTCTTTGCAGATTTTGACATCGTCATTTTTACCGCCCATTTGAAAATGTAATACCACAACATTTATGCAAATAGATGAGTGAGTCTCTTTGGAAGATACCACCCATGATGATTTGGAAAGAGCTTGTCTAATACATGAAACATTGTTAAAAGATCTTACTACAAAAGTCATCTAGCCAGAGATGAAAGTGAAAGAGACCATAGTTTTTAACTAGATGTAAACATCATGGAGTGTGATTTAATCCTAGACAAAATCTTAACGAACGGCGATCCCGACCTACCAATCAAGGAAAGGATACAAATTCTGAGAAAAATTCTAGTGCGGAATTCATAGTCGTCTAACTCAACAAAAACCGGACCATAATGTTAAAGATAAGAGTCGACATCCCCTTCAATGGAAAATACCTCATTGAGTTCCCCAAAACCAATGTTGATCTCTTAGTTGTTTCCAGGGATGACGTGCCTGACATTGACCCTAATGTAGTCTATCACTAATTAAACATATGAGTTTGATATTTCCTTCAAACCAAGAGAATTGTTTAAAGCTTAAGTATTTCCATATTTTATTGCATAAATGACA